CACACACACACACACACACACACACACGCACACACACACACACACACACAGGGGATAGGGAGGCGGAGGCGGAGAGGAGTTGGTGGGACCGATGGCAGGAGGAGATGGCGGGAGGAGGCCGATGGGAGGTGGCGGAGGCAGAGGAGAAGTGGCTGAGGTGGGGGAGTAGAGAGAGAGAGGAGATTGCGGGGGGAGGCAGAGGGAGGTGGCCGGAGACGGAAGGGAGGTGAGCGGAGACGGAGGGGAGGCGGGCAGAGACGAGTCACCTCGGAGGGGCCTTCAAACACAGCCTTGCAACACAGCACACACGAAGTCACGGGGCATTGGACTCTGGCGAAGGCGCGAGGTCACGGGCCGTTCGACACGAGCAGAGCCATAGCGCCGCCCACCCTGCAACGGGCCAATGGCAAGCAGGTGTCAGGACCGTTCTTTTACGAAGGGCCCTCTTTTCAACGAGCGCGACGATCCAGGCCACCCGCGGTCCTACCGGGCCGATGGCTTGGATCATCCCGCTATCTTAAGACTATTAAGATCGCACAACGATCCAGGCCGTCCGGCAGGGTGGACGGTCTTGATCGTGCGGAAATCCGGCCGTAGGACCGTGGGAGGCCCGGATCGGCCAATTCTCACGTTAGCGATTTCTACAAGTGTAGGGATGTGGACCTAGATCAAGGTGATACACAGCTGGTCATTGATATGGACGGAGATAATGGCGCAGACGTGATTGTCGTTCTAGAAAGAACTTTCCGGAATTGGGCGAGTTGGTTTACTGTTGGAGTTGGTCGGGTGTTGTTTGTCGTCATCTGGGTGCACTGAATAAACTTTACGCGTTTATGTTAGGTAAGCTTTTCAACATTTGGCAGATGCCTTCATAAGCGCAGTGATTTTTAGGTGAAGCTTTTCTAAATCGGGCATATGCTTTCACAAAATGCAGTCATTTAGAAAACATATAATATTACTAGCACAAATTCTTCAAGCACAAACTCTATCATTAGGTGCTTGGAGTATTTGTGCTAATGATACTATGTTTCTCTTATTAAAGCAGGCTTGCTTTTTTTCTTACTACAAAAGAGTAAGTAACAGCAGTAACGATTAGTTTCACTCTCACTTATTCGTAGGGTTTCTGCTCCAAGGGAAGTACAGCGGAAATGCAATAAAATTGGCAATAC